TCCATAGTCTGCCCTTGCTCAGGTACATATTTGTGCGGGAGAGGGTCACCATCGTCCATGCCCACAGCTCCTTCTCTGCCATGGCCCATGATGCCCTCTTCCATGCCAAGACCATGGGACTGCGGACGGTGTTCACGGACCATTCCCTCTTTGGGTTTGCGGACGTCAGCTCGGTGCTTACCAACAAACTTCTGACGGTGTCCCTGTGCGATACCAACCACATCATCTGTGTCTCCTACACGAGTAAGGAAAACACAGTCCTGCGAGCAGCTCTGGACCCTCGGATAGTCTCTGTCATCCCCAATGCTGTTGATCCCACCGACTTCACTCCAGATCTGTCAAGGAGGGACGATACAACAATAACAATTGTGGTTGTCAGCAGACTTGTATACAGAAAAGGTAATGGGGGATAAAATGTAAGTTTATTTTGGATGTATTTTTCTTTAAGGTATGTTAAGAAAGGTCTTGGTTGGGTACCACTCGTGCTGTGTCTGGTATGGAATAGACTTTAAACAGGAGCTGGAAGGTGGCAGTTCTGTGCTTTTATGAAAAAAAAAGCATTCAAGAAAAAGAAATGTATGTTTCAGTTTGGGCCTGTTGGGTTCTGAGGTATATTTCTTTTGTAATATTGGAGATATTCAAAACTGAAATGTGTAAAATGGAAAGTTTGGCTTACAATGGAGGGGATGTGTTCTAGGCCCTAATTTATATATTCTGTTCAAAATATTTTTAACTGTTTTTTAATTAAGCAACAGTGACTTAAGTGATTTGTTTCCTAATAGATCACAAGTCTTTTTCTCAGCATTTTGTGTTCAGTAGTGTAACTGTCCTCAAGAGTTTAACTTTTTTTTTCTTCTTTTGAATATATAGCAGTAGGTTACGTCATGATAAGTTCTAAACGCAAATGCAATAATGTCTTGCCCTAAATTTTCTATTCTTAGGTATAGATTTGCTTAGTGGTATAATTCCTGAGCTCTGTCAGAAATATCCACAGTTACACTTCTTAGTTGGAGGAGAAGGACCAAAACGAATCATACTGGAAGAAGTCCGGGAAAGATACCAGCTACATGACAGGTTTGTTCCGTGCATGTCTATGACTTTGTACTTTAGGGGTGGGGAAGACAACAGCAACACCCTTTCTGCCTACCTCCTCCCCCTAAAAAAAACAAAACCAAAAACCTGAGGCTGAAGAAGATGAGAACTATTGAAGGCAAGGCAGCTAGACCAGATGGTAACTGAAGACTTAAAGTTGGGCTGTGATCCTGAAAGTTAATTAATAGAAATAGACCTTGTATGAAGTTTCACTTGAGTCAGAGAAAAGCTGACTTAGACATAACTTTATCATATTCCTCTCTGAAACTCTGCTGTTTGGATCACAAATTACTATATGGTGTAACATGTTAGATAGCTAGTTCGTGTCACAGCAGTGCCTGTTTGTGAGGGTGACTGCCAGTAATTTATTTTATTATTTCAATATGAATCTCTTCAGGGTAGTGCTTATCTAGTGTGTCTTCTTAGGGTACTGCAAACATGTTCCCTGGTGCTACTGTGTTATCAAAATATTTCTATAATGCATATGCATATGTGTATTTTTTGGGTTTTTTTTTACTGTTCAAAGACAGTTTTATGTGGCAAAGACAAGGTTCTTGATTTTCCATTTCCTTTTCTCTGTCTTTTGTTACTTCTTCTGTACTTCAGTTAGTGATTCCTCCGATAAAGTTATTCTTATTCCACTTTTTTCTGTTTCACAGTATCCAAAATAATAGATCCTGATCATTGTATGCTAAATACTTCCCCCCCAGTCTGAGATTAATCAGACCTCACATTGAAATTACAGATAATACCTCTAAACAAAGAAAGCGTGACAAATCTTAATAATTAACTGCATGAAGCTCTGTTCTCTTACAGAACTAGAAAGCTTAGTAGCAATGTTTTGAAGGTGGTTACCATTAAAACAAGCAGAGCAGCTTCAGAGCAGCTTCTCCCCCCAGCTTTATTTTCAGAAGTTTCTTTTAGTGTGAAAATAAGAAGTAGAATCTTTTGTTTCCTCATTGCTGAAAAAATTTAGAGAAAACAGAATGGAGGCATCTGTATTACTTCTCCCACTGTGTAAGTGTAAACCATTGGAATATTTTTCAGAATGTGTGTAACACTATACAGTATTATTACAGTCCAAATCTAGTGTTCATCTCTCTCGCCTTTGTACGCAGGGTACGTCTCCTAGGAGCCTTGGAGCACCAGGATGTTAGAAATGTCCTAGTCCAGGGACACATTTTTCTCAATACTTCCCTCACTGAGGCCTTTTGTATGGCAATTGTGGAAGCAGCAAGCTGTGGTTTACAGGTAAAAAAAAAAACAAAAAAACCCACCACTCAACTGTCTAGAATGCATGTATCCATTTTAAACAAAGTTTGTGATTAAATAGTATGTGCTTGTAACATCTGATTTAATCTGAGGCTCTGTCTTTACAAAGGCGAGCAAATATTATCCCCATTTACAGATCACCTGGAAGCTGAGACAGAAGGGTTAACTGAAACTGCTTAAGCTCCCAGAAGAAACTTGTGCAGAATTGGGAATAACATGTAGATCTACTAACTCTCAGTTCTCTGAACTAACCAGACTGCCTCTCCAATATACTATTTTGTATGTACTCCTTTACAGAGTTTTGGGGTAGTTGATGTTCGTGAAAGTTTACTTTGACCGTACTTTAAGAGGAACTGTGGAAAAATGGCTCATGAGCATGGGTGACTGGTCAGTCAGGCATATTGAATTACCACACTAAACCATTGTATTAGAACTGCTTTCTTCCTGCACCAAGAACTGACATTTGTTTTCTTACATTAACTGAGGATATATTTGCCTTACCATATGGGGTGTCAAGATAAGCGTTGGAGAGAGAGAGAGAAAGCAATAAAATCCCTTTCTGGCTAATTGACAGCTCAGACTGACAACTCAAAAAAGTTAAATCAACAGCCATAAAGAGCTTAGTTTCTCACGTTAAATATAAAGAAACATGTTTTAAAAAAGTCAGGCTGAGAAGAATACCTAATATACAAGAAATATAGAAAATGCGAGGGACCTTTTTTTACTTCAGTGTCCTTTGACAGTAGTTACTACCTGGTTCTGGTAGTTATTTCCCTCTCATCTGTTTTACTCTCTAGAGCTAAGGAAGTTCTGCAGTTTTCTTATTGTTGCCTGCTGTTTAGACATAATTGCATAACGTGAGTCTTAGTATTTCTTAGTATTCATCTTATTATTAGAGATGTGATTTTTCCCTTTAAAAACAGTACTTCAGATTAAAATTACTGAACTTTAAAAGTAATTCTTGTAAATGTTCAGTAGCCTAGAAAGCATAAACCAAAGGCAGATGTGTTAAAACTGTCCTCTCCATGTAGACGTAAGTTTTTGTGAGGAACTGTGGAGAGAAAGTCCAAAATCTGGTTACACATTTAGTTGTGTACTGTGACAGACACGTTTAGGGAAGATGTCTTGTAAACCACTCATTAGACCAAGTCTTCTGTTTTATCATGCTACCAAAGAGTCATTCTGAACATCATTAGAGGTAATATGCTATGCTAGGTCTTTTCTAAGGCCTAGACCATTAGTTCGCATACAGGTAAAATTCCCAAGAATGGTATTGGTCTTTGCCTTCATGGCAACCACTCATTGTATTATTTTTTTCCTATTCTTAAGTGCTGCATCTAAACAGTTTAATAGCAGTGTCATCACTCAATTTTATTATTTTACTGTTATGCAGCATATATGCTATTTCTTTTGTTTCTTTCAAAGGTGGTGAGCACAAGAGTTGGTGGGATTCCTGAGGTGCTTCCAGAAGATCTCATTATTCTCTGTGAACCCTCTGTGAAATCTTTGTGTGATGGATTAGAAAAAGCTATTGCCCAGCTCAAAGCAGGAACACTACCATCTCCAGAAACCGTTCATAATAAAGTAAAGACCTTTTATACATGGAGGAATATAGCAGAGAGAACCGAGAAAGTATGTAAAATCACCTCTATTAAATTCTCTTAAGTACATTTTTGAAACAGCTGCTTCTTTGAAACATTACTATGTACATTCTCTATATAACCTTTCAGAGTAATTTTTCAGTTTTTTTTCTGTCAAACACACATAGTTTAAAGAGGTTCAGAAAATACTTTTTCCCCCCAGATACATCCCTAGACAGGTGGGGTTTTTTCTATTTGCATTTTTTTCTCTGTCATAACTGCTGATTAGTATTCTGAGGAACAGCCTAAATCTTCAGTTAAATTTCTACTCATGGTTTGGTTTTGGTTTTGTTTGTTTGTTTGTTTTTTTCCCAATCTTCACATTAAGAATCTTTTCTGGCATGCTGTACAAAATGTATGAAAAGGTAAAGTTCATGGCAAAGTTTTGTCTGCCACGTGTTAACAAGTGGGTTAGAGTTATGAGAGGTAGTTTAGTGCCGGTAGGCTGAACATAGCTGAATTTACATAAGCTATGGATGTAATGAAAATAAATTATCAGACTTCTGAAATCGTATTTCAGAATTAGAACCACACTTCAGTGTAGAAACTCTGCTGTAAGGGAAGAATGTTAAGCACAGTAATTTTATGCATGCCTGTGGAGATCTGTTGCTTTGACTTCAGCCCTTATGTTTTAGGCAAGACTGTAGTTGAATCACATGCCTCTTAATTACATTGTAGTGTACTCAGATATATCTCTCTTATAAGTCTCCTTGAAGTGTTGTGTACAAAATGTTAGTGTAATTGCAAGAAGTATGCATGGAACTTAAGTTGTACAAAAGAGAGTTGTTTGTTAGCTTATTGCTAAGTTACCCGTAGGATGAAGTAGGCAGTGTTCTCAACGAAGAAACTTGAAATCTTTTTTGAGATGTGTGTAGTGGGTATTTATGAAACATGGGGCTATATTTTTTCATTTTAGTGGTTGTAGTTAATATGCATATTAGGTCACTATTAACATGTATTTGCTTTTCACATCCATTGAATTTTAAGCATTTTACTAAGAATTACTAGTGTTTCTTTAAATAAAAATCAGTATCCTGTTATGATTTGCTTGATTGTTCGAATACAGGCATCTGGAAGATTGCCCATGCATCTATGAGTTCATCCATCTTTGAAAGTGTAGTGATTGCATGTTCAGACTGTTTTCCTGTGACTGGTGTGAATATAAGATTAGAACCCACTCAATTAATTCAAAAAACCAAAAAATATACAATATTACAAGAGACAAATTATACAGCTTTCCTATTTAATTAAATACTCTTGAGGTCTGTCAAAAAACATTTATTTTCCTTTTTCTCCTTAAAAAAAAAAAGACATTTCTAGAACAGTACTTAAAATCCACAAAGCTTTTTGAGGTTAATATTTGTCCCATCTAGTAGTAAGGAATAGATAATTTATTTTGCACACTGACAACACAGTACTGCCTGTTTTTCACTGTAGAATCAACATCAGTTTAAGAGTTTGCTTTCTGTCTTTTCTTCATTTAGGTGTATGACAGGGTTGCAGATGAAGTGGTTTTACCAATGGATGAGCGACTTAACAGACTTATGTCTCACTGTGGCCCAGTGACTGGGTATATTTTTGCTCTTTTTGCTGTTCTGAACTTCCTTTTCTTGGCATTTCTGAGGTGGATGACTCCAGATTCCATTATTGATGTTGCAATAGATGCCACAGGACCTAAAAGTGCATGGACTAAACAGTATTTTTTGGGAAAAAAAAGGAAGCGTTAAAGAAGATCTTCCAAGCTCCTGAAGTGCTCAAATTGAGAGGAAAGGATGCATCAGTCAGTAAAGATTTTAATGCTTGCTTATAGAGACATTACTCTTAAAATTCTTCCGTTTCTTTCTGAAGTCCTAGAAAGAAACTTGGTTAAATGTACTACCTCAATTTAGGATGATGTTTTAATTTAGTTTTGGATTCATGCAAATTTATGGACATCTCTTTTGCACTTAAAACTGGAAGAACGTGGGATTTTGTATGATTCAAAAGCCTTTGAAACAAAAGTACAAAATTTTTTCAACAACTTGAATATTACAGAAGGTGACTGTACATTGTACTGGTGTTTGAGAAAGCAAAACACAGAAATTATTAGCTTACAGTAGTTTCTGCTAATTCCTCAGATTTACTGTTATTTTTATTTTGAGGCTTATTTAAAAATATTTAATTAGAAACCTAACAAAACACCCGTTTTCTCTCCGAAGATGGAAACGGTACTTGAAATTAGTCATTAAGTCCATTATCATGGTAATGTCAGAGACTTATTTCTAGAAGTTGTGTCCCAGTGACAGTCTTTTGTCTGTGTAGCATTATTATTTTGAAGTTCTTCGCCAGTCAAATTGGATCATCCTGTTGCTAAATCAAAACTCCATAATGCATTTTTTTATATTTTCAGAGGTGCTAAATTTGTCCTGTTCACTTACATGTGTGAAAGTGATGTAAAGCTGATGGTGTTTGTGTCTTTTCTGTTTTTCTTTGAGTTTTTTTTTATTTTCAGATTACATAGGTAAAGGAATTCTATTCTTCAGAGATCACAGCCTTCAGAAACAGCTCAGGCCTGAAAACTCCTCCAGCAGACTATGCCAAAGTGTGAAGTAACGTGTGTGTGTGTGCGCGTGCAGAAGAGAAATCTGTGAAGGGCTTAACAAGCACCATCGTGCTTTCTTGCTCTCTCCCCTCCCACACTTCCTTAGTTTTCTTTTCTTTTTTTTTTCCTTCTTTTTGCTTTCCTCTTACATATGACCAAAATGGCATTTCAGCCCATCCCTGGGAGGGACAGCGTTCAGTGTGTGTGTTTTCTCCTAGACCACATCAGAGTCACTGTTGGACAGGTCCTGCAAGTGAAATCTTGGAAAGGTATCTCCTAAATAGAAATAACCAATAGGTATGCTTTTCATGGGAGGGAAAAAAGGGAAAAAAAAAAACCCAAAAGATGTGGCTTCTCACATCTGTTAGCACTCCTATGTAATGTATACCTGGGACAATAAGGCAGCACAGCACATCAATATGTGAGAGGAGCATTTATTTCATTTATGTCAGTGACCTCTAAAACACCCCCCTGCCTAATGCACTGGGTTAATTTCTTATTCAAACATCACCGAAGACTAAAAATCTTGTGATTTTTATGACTAGTACGTGGTGTTGGACACTGTATTAATATTAAAACTGTGCAATATGAAAATACTGTTTCCAAACCCTTGAAGGGCAGTATTTAAAACACAACTTCTGTCAGTATCATGTTGTTTGTGTAGATACATAGTTACGCTAACATTTTATAATTCCATTGAACATATTTTCATGAAACACGGAGAAGTAATATGAGATAAACTCCATACACAAAGTCTATTTTCTTTTACTAGATATTTTTAGCCTTTGATATGTAACGTACAGTATGCATTGTATTACAGTTTGAATTTTACACACTACATTAAAGGTGCATATAAGCTAAAATGGTGCCACACAGACTATGGATAAATGGGTGGAATTAAGGTAATTTACTTTTCAAAGTTACACCCCTGTCCCCAACATTAAATTTATAACTTTTTAAAAATACTGATTACCATTCCAGAGAAATATTTTATATATTTATAATAATATTCTGTTGGTTGGGTTTTATTTCTTTTTGGTTTTCTACACTATCTACAAACAAATTTTCAATAGGATTGTGAGAATATTTAAAATACTTCTCTCTTTTGTTGTGGAACATTGTGTATTTACAAATAACATAATAAAACCTTGTTATACTCTTGTTTACAAGACAAATTTACAGTTTTATTTAACAGTTTGTTTACCTTTCCATAAAGAATGAATATTTTTCATTAATATTTCGGAACATACAATTAGAAAGTACAGAAATATAGTCCATATTGCTGCTTCCCATCACTGGTGGCTGGACTTCTTGCAAGAAAGATGATTATTTAAAAACATTCTGCACAAGCTGTCGCAAAAAAATTTAATCCGTAACAGGTTTAACTACAACTATACTGTTTCTCAAGTAATGCAACATGTAACTCTTTGCAGGACCGATTAACTTACTAGCCTTGTGCAGAGCAATAAGGGATGATGTCATTTAGTTTTAAAAACCATCAGTGGGTGAAATAAAATAAAATAATCACAGAAATAAAAATCCCGAACAGAGATAATGTATATTTAGAAATGGATAAAATAACCATTTAAATGATCTAAAATGTTTTGTTTGTGCTTATAGGTAACACTTGATCATTGTCAAATACTAGGGAAATGTTACTAAAGAGAGAGTGATACTGGGTACTGTATGGCATAGAGCAGAGACGGTTGTGAAGGAGGAAGGAACACCCAAAACCCACTTATATGGAAGGTCCCCTTATGTAGAAGAGTCTATTGATCTACAATGAAACTTAATCCTGCAGGCACAAGTAGAGGTGGTGTTTCCAATACATTATGTGCAGACACTGTGAATTAAGGTATGGATGGCCTGCTGATAGTTGAGAATTGGATGTTAAACCAGAAGAGGCATCAAGTAAAGTATGACTGTAAGATTCACCTTTAAGACTGTGTTTTAGTGGATGTGGTAGATCTGTAAGAAGGTAAATACACTGTAATGTACTTATTTTTGTGGTCAAGTTTTTCTGCATCTTTTTAAAATAAATTCCTCCCCCCCCCCGCGCGGGGTGTTTTTTTTTTTTTTTTTTTTTTCATTAGTCCTTTATTTATTTTTTTTTTTTTTTACATATATGCTCAGGCTTATAAATAATTGTAAATGTTTGAATGCTCCAGTAAAATACAGATATTATGTAAAAAGATACAAGAACAATCAATCTCAAAATGGTTTTAGAAACTTTTTAAAATTAAAAAACATTTAGGTATTTTTAATGTTTGATTTGCTGTCATTAGACTGGTCTCATCATATTTGCTCTACGTCTTTTATGACAGTAAGTGGCAGGTTGACTTCCACAGTTTTCCCTAAATGCTAGAGCATTGACCTAGTCAGATAAAAGGAGGGGTTTTTTTGTTAAGGGATCAAAACCAAAGGCAAGATACAGTTCTGCATCTGGATTTACCATTGTACTACAATTATGCATTTTTCTTGTAAATGTAAGAGGTAGATTGGAGTGTTCTCAGATTCTGACTTGCTTCAGCACTGGCATAACTCTGGAGTCGATATTTGCACAGGATTCATTGAACTTTAACCATGCATAACCCGGTTGTCTCGTAGATGCTAGTTCTTAAGCTGGCTGTGGAAGTGGGAGGGACTGATGGTGTGTATCTGGAGAAGGAGTCATCCCTGTAGCACATGTGTTGAAGGCAGACAGGGAAATACCTGATGGAATTTGCCATCTTCCTGCTCAGACAGCAGCAGGAGTTTGGATAACCAGACCTTACATGGTGTGATGGGTGGTGGGTAGGTTAGATGAGTCCTATGTCTGCTTGTTTGACAGCAACAGTGAGTCACTATATACATTCCTTTTTAAAGGCACGAGTGTTGTAAGTGTGCTGACCTAAGGATGCAGATGAGGCAAGGCTTGTATGAGAAGTAGTGTCATTTATTAGATCAAACTGATGAAAAAGAGATAGCTTGGCTCTCTGTATATCTTTGTTCTGTTTCTGTCTCCTTTTTTCCCCCCAGTTGTCTTACTTTGAATATATTTGATACTCAGACTCTCAACTATACACATGAGAAATACACTGCTGAAATTCAAGGAGTGTCTAGCATAAGAATAGACCAACACCTCTCAATTTCTTTGAGAAGAGGATCCCTCTAATCCTTATTTCATTGTCAGATGTGACCAGAAGTGTTTGGCATTTCTTATTATTGACTAAAGTTAAGGTGAACTGTAGTGTAAATGAGTTGTTTTCTAAGCTGCACTGCTTTTTCTTCTGTGTTTATTCCTTGCATGTGTGTAAACTAAGGTTATATAATCATCAGCTTTCCAGTTCTTTGGATGGTCTAACTAAACCATCTCATGACATTTTTATTGAAGGATTAATATATTTTCCGGATATTTTGATTTGACAATTTAGTTATTATTCTAGAGTGATTCAAGGAGTAGTTAGGACATCTTGCAGAAGTTCTACGTAAGACATGTTTTTTCTATTGAGGGCTGACCTGTTCAGGCTATTAATGGAGTGGAAGAATCCATGTCATTCAACTTGCTATGATGCAGCCCAAAACAGCAAGGGAGGAAAGATGAGATTCCTGTTTCTGCACTGTAATTGTTCTTTTGTGTTATACGTGTTCTCCTATGTTATGTTGCTCACCTTTCTTTAGTTTCAGGAATACTATATGTTTCTGACTAATCACACCTGATCTTGCTACAGCTTACCTGACTACCACCTCCACCAGTATTAATACCTCCCACCAAGCTGTTCAGCTGTCTTCCCACTGATGATTTTTTTCAATCCACTGCTGTAATTTTCCTAATGTTCATGTACACTAAGAGCAGATGAAGAGATTACATGAACTTTTCTCAAATGATTCCATCATTTAACTTAAAATCTTTAGTTGTCTTGTTCTGAAGCCAGGAGGGTGATTTTGCTACCACACAAATAGAGTTTGTCCTTCTGTAAGAGTCATATTTCTGTGACTGCTTCCAAGTGGGCAAACTTCCTCATGGTATTTTAGACCACCTGGAGATCTCTTCAGTATTACTGTAATTTCAGCTTCCTTTCAGGGTGAAAGAATTTCTATGGAAATCACCTGGTTTCCAGTTTCTTGTATTTCCTGAGAGTTGTGTACTTGTACATATCTACCTAGTATCTAGCAGGCTGATGGTGAAAGATCAGTGGATCTCTTTTGAAACCAAATATCTGTTTTCTGGTCTTTAAGAAGGTGCTGTTCCTTCTTGTTTAAGTGCTATTGAGTGCCAGTTTTGTAGATACTACATGATAAATCTTTCTCCATCATTTAGGCTGACCTTTTCTTTGTAATGATTTTTTCTTCCCATTTGTTCTTTTTCTCTGCATCCTGTATTTTACACCTTTTGCTATTCCTCTGGCTTCAGGAGGAGTGTTCTCATTATCTTTTTTTTTTTTTTTTTTTTTTAGGGCTAACTGATCATCCCTTTTTTGGTCCACCTTTGTTTGGTAATTTCTCCTTTTTGTTTCCCAGTTGAGCAAACATAACTGTTTTTCTCTTGATTCCTTAACTGAACTTCTCTTGCCACGTAATCCATGTCTTCAGCTGTCTTGTCCAGTATTAAAGTGACTAAAAATAAGTAGTTTCCCCTTTTGGATTCATAGATGTTGCAGTTTCTACAGGCATATTTTATTACTGTGGAAGGAAAGCTATATGTATATAAGGTGTTAAGTTATTGGTAAAAAGGTAATATATTGGTTTAATTCAGAATTTTAGAAAAATTGGTTAAAAAAAAGGCAAAAAAAAAATTAAAAAAAAAGCTTGAGGATGTTTTTTTCAGTCTGCATGTATCTTATATAGTGTTCTAATGTACCTGGAAGGGCAGAGTGCTGAAGGTGGCGAGATACTAAGCCAGCTGTATTGCTACAAAACAAAACAAATCGAATAAAAAATGTGCAGGGAAATAATTTGCTGTAAAATGTCCTTCTGCATATCCACCATCTCCTTGGGATCTCTGGGAGAGGAGAGTCATCCTGCTCTTTCCAATGGGTGTACAAATTGAAGGGTAAGAGAACCTGGGCAAGGAGGGACTTCAAAGAAAGTAAATCTCCATCCTACTGTGCATATAGGAAAATAGGAATCAAGACAAGCTTAAATGAAAAGGAGACAGGGTTTTCTACATAGATTCAATTAATTACATGCAGAAAAAATACTCTGGTCTCTGTGGAAGCCATGTGCCTTCAGAAAGAAAGAAGAGCAATTAAAGAAAGGCTTTTTCGGTTTCAAATATTACTCCTTGAAATCAACGATGGTGTAAAAATATTTCTATTATTTTAAAACAGTAAGATGCTGAGTGCAAGAGTCATTAATAGACAGCATTCTTTATCCCTGAGTGATGGAAAACACCAGTATGTTAACATGTGTTTCTGATTACAGAACTTCATTTTTTTTTTTTTCCCCCCTCCTAGAATATCTTTGACTTCTTTGCCCTGTCTTTGGAAATACGTGGTTCTATTTCAGATTCTTTCATGGTAATGCATTTCTCTGATATGCTTGCCTTTGTTCTGTATTTGAGTATCAGCAAGGCCTGTTGCCAAGATGGGAAAGACAGAAAAGTAGTCTTTTTGCAGTATCTCGGAACAACTTCTGCAACTTTACCTATGTAGCCTTTGTATATGGAACTGCTACATCAAGAAATAAATGTAATATGGAAGTATAGGCTTCCAGACAGTACGGAAAACATCTATCTAAAAGTTTATTCCAATTCATGTAGGTTTGGAAAAGATCTTCGGTTTGTTTCCTGTATGGCATGGGATGTTCAAACTATCTTATCCTTGGTATTGTTATTTAGTATCAAATAGCCTATACCAAATAAAACCAGAATGTATTTTTGGTAACTGAGGAACAGCAGGTTCTAGAGGGTTTAAAATAGATGACATATGATACCAAGAATAGCCTGGTGCAGCTTAGCGGACCTGAGAAACTATTCAAAGAGCAAACCAAAATGGAGGGCACTTCTATACTCCATACTTTCACTAACATTTATTTTGCCATTTTTGCTTTGTTTTGCTTCAAGCTTTTAATTAAGATTTCCTTGGCTTTGCTGACCCATTTCTATATTGTTAAAGGCAACAGAAAAGAGGCTGCCAGGATAGCAGAAGAGATCTATGGAATAGTTCCAGGTAAAGTAAAAATATGGACACTCTAATATTTAAATGTATATTTGCTACATTTTTTCTAACTTGAGGTTTTAAATTATTGAGCTGCCAAGAAATGAGGGATCTATTGCTAAGAGCACGGGTGGATGTTTTAACTTGAAGTGCCTTCCATTTCTGGGGTCTTCGCGGTGTCAGTATGCGTTGGCATGATTTAGGTGTGCAAAATATGAGCCTCGAACAATTACTCAGCTAGAATGAGGACAACACTTGCTCAAGGCACTATGGTAAATAAAAAGATTGTTCTCAGAAGTAAGGCATTCTTTAGTAGGTGTTACATATGGTTTTACTAAATAGCTAGCTTTACTGCCAAAAAATATTTAGGAAAAAGTTTTAGCATGTTCATTTTCTGAAAGGAGATAATAGGAGGATATTACTAATGACTTTATGAGCCCAAGCCAAGAACCCCTGTTTTGTTAAATCATATATTAAAAATGAATACAGCTAAAATTATTCTGAAAAATATATGTCATGGGAATATATTGTATTTAGTAGACTATTGAGTAGGTCATTTATTTTTTTGTTTTCCAAGTGATTTTACTCTTTTACGTTGCTGCCATAATGACATGTTTGTATGCCCGGTAATTCCACTAAGTAAAATTACACAGTATTTTAATTTTACTACCAATGAGGATTCTTACCAGTGTTTTAACATCATAGATCTTTACGTGACTCACTTGTTGGGCACTTGCTTTGTTGATGAATAGTGACACCATGAACAGGCACATGAACATGAGCAGAACATGGGTGGTGTGAGATAGCCATCCAAAGCAGAGAGGTTAAAATCTGGCCAAGAGAAATACTGCACCAAAGCATTTTTTTACAAAGCCTGTATACACAAACATGCCTGAGTTATTAATTTATTTGCTGTTCTCTGGAATATAATTCCGATGATTTATTACTGTCATTTTTTTCCAAGTGCCTTCGTGCAATAATCAGACATGTGGCAAACGGCATTTTTTTCCTTCATGCTGGTTCTTATCTTATTGAAATTTAGCAGCCCACAACATATTTTTATCTGCAAGTTGCCATTTGCAAAAATCCATTAAGGATAATCTTACAAAACAAGATCATGTGATGCTGTTGCTGGGGCACTATATTGGATTACAGGCGGACCTTCAGAGCCTTTTCTCTTTGCAGTGAAGTAGTGCAGCAGCAGCAGCAGGGCTGCTTAATTTATCTGTAGACATTTAAAACGACGCAGTGTTTTCAGTCATGTCACTCACACCTGGGAAGGGAAGATGTGCCATGTATGGGAACTATATTTGCCACACGTTTCAGGGAGGTAGGTTGCTGTGGCCAGCATGGAAGTATACAGCAGCATGTGTTTTCATGGTGAGGCATGTGCGTGCATACACATGCATTGTAAAGGCATGTGATGTGCGCTTGCACATGCTATACACATAAAAGGTTAAATAATGCACTGTAGCTCTATTGCCGGACTTACATCTGAATCTTCCTGCTATGTAAGAGCCCTGGGCTTTGTCACTTGCAATGTCTTCTGACTTTCTGAACTAAGCTTGCCTATTTCAGACACCAGCATGATGAGGGATGAGGAGCTTTTTGGATGTTTTCAGGAAAGTGTTTCTCAGTCCCTATCTGTTTCCTGTTTTCATCATTTCACTTGGTGTGTGCTACTTGGTCCTTAGGAGCCTGGTCATGTCTTTCCATTCCAGCTTCCTGCTTTAGGAGTCCAGGGACAGCTTCTTAAACAAATGGAAACAAAATTAATAACTGTAGTTAAAACCATAACCCTGTGAGCTGAAGTGCATCCCAGTTCTCAGGTAACAAAAGGAAATTCCCTTGGCCAAGGCTTAGACCTCTGATGTGTCCTTGGTCTCAAGTCCCCAGGGATGTGTTAATGTCTCTCACAGATTTCTTCCTGCCTTGCCTAACACCTGAAATGGAGATAAATCACCCTTTCCATTCTCTCCTGTGTGCAGCATAGCTGAAAAAATTAAACAAGACAAGAGTTTCAGATACAGTGCTCATGGGGCTGCTGTACAACAGAGCATGAAAGCAAACACTGGTATTGCTTCTGTCCTGTGGCACTGTAAATACAGCTGGCCTTTGGAGAAATACTTTCTACATACTGTATCCTCATATGGTTATAAATTTTAATATTGGACAAGTAAATTTGCTTTCTACTTTTTTTGCAGGGATTTAACCTGGGCTGACTTACTGTACCTGCAGGGAGCTAGGCTGAGGAATTCTTTTTCTTGTCAAATGAGTAGATTAAGACAAGAAAAAGGGCAAGCTAGCCTACATGAAGGAGTCTGAACAGTTCAACAACTCAAAATGATTAAGGAAGTAAAGCCTCAGGCAGGATTTATTTTTCCATGTCTTTTCTGAAACCTTCCAGTGAAAGGGAGAATGAAACCTGTTACCTGGTAGGATGGAGGATATTATTTATGAAATTGTCAGTTCAGGAAATAAAACTGCCAGGGACATGCCAGAATTCATTTGATAGACAAGTCACCGCAGTGTCTCCCTGCTATGAGTCTCTTAACAAAGTGCAAGAGATTCTGGAACATGATTTGTGACAAAAGTTTCCTTCAAAAGATGGAGGCTGATACAGTTTTGAATAGAATGTCAGGGCTCTGAAGTCCCTGGGTGAGTCCCAGCAGTGTTAAACTCATTGTCTTTGCTGAAGCATGTCTTTAGCTGTTTTCAAAAGGTCTGCCAAGAAACTTTTTAGGTCCCTTCGTGAGCTCCAGCCCCAGCTTTCTCAGGAGTGCTGAGCCCTCAGATGCTCTGCTGAAACCAATTCATCAAACAGCTTCATCACTGATGCCACATTGATTTCAGTCCTGATCTGAATTTGCACGTAGCTGTTTTTCCCTGTGTTCCTGGGACCTGCTTGTGCTGCTTACCTGAGTTATTTTTTACGCGTTTGCTTTCAGGCAGCTGGGCCGACCGATCCCCTCTTCATGAGGCTGCCTTCCAAGGACGCCTCCTGTCTTTGAAAACCTTGATTGCACAGGTAAAGAAAAGGTTGGGAAGCAGCATAGTTTCTTTTGAATTGCATCTATGTGTTGGTGAGCTGGTAATAGACTGCAGCAGGGCATAAGAAATATGGTTGTATAAATAATATTATCCACACGCACGCCTCTGGGCATGTATTAGTTTACTTAGTTAAGCCCAGCACAGAAACTGTAACAGCTTGTAGCTTGCTGTATGATAAACAGTGATGCGTGGGCTCTTTCTCAATGATAAAGCATGCAAACTGGGCTTGAGAACAGAGACTATATATATCGGCTATTAAAAAAAAAAAATCAATAGAAAGCTATAAAAGTGCATCTTGCTTTATCAAACAGCAAGCATGGTCTTCCTAGAGAGAGAGCTGTCAGCCTGAAAACCTCTGCAACAAATGAAACCAAGAGTTGATGCAAAAGAAAGAGTAGAGGAAAGAATATACTAGAAAGGACAAGAAGCTGGATGTGAAAGTGGGCAGCTGTAAACGGACAGGTTATGGTACTTCCTGCTCTGCCGACCATCTTCCTTACCGTCTTCGTTTAAACTCAATGCCCTCAGCTGGCACGAATGAGCAACTGCTCCCCCACCAGTCAAGACGACTGCAGGGAAACTAGTTCCCTGCGTGTGAGCTGTGTCACTTGCCATCAGATTTTTTATATCCGAGGTAAATAATTTTTGCCAGTGGGGCCACAGCTCGAATGGGCAACGTCCTCAAGGAGTGGAGCTGCTGGTGCGAAAGGCTCCAGTCCAGATATATGTCGAGGCATAGCTGCAGCTAAGAGGTTGATGTTTACAGCCAGTTTTCCCCACCCATTTCCTGATCCCTCTTTCCTTCACCTACTGATATCTGAAGTTTTTTATGGAAAAGGAAACGATGGAAGTTAGGGATGATAAGGAAGGGGGCTTACTCATTCAGGGCTTTGCTGGTTTTCTGCCCCCCTCTATCTCCGTTTATGCTGATCTTACACCATCGTATTAGCAGGGTACCTTGTTATACACTAGATGCCCAATCATACACTGGAGAAGCACCCAGTGTTGTGGTTATGCATCATTTAGTTAATCCACCCTTCTTCTTCTGAGGACATAGGGATTAGGGTCCTCCGTGATTAAAAGAGATCAAGGCAGCAATGTCTGTAGAGACTGAATTGGAGCTGATTCACCACAGCTTGATAAATGTAGGGGTAAAGCTGTTCACAGAGCAGCATAATCATTGCTCATTGCTTTTACTATAGTTACATTACTAACCTAAAATTAAATACAGAGCTATACTTCAGAGAATACGTGGGTCACACAGAAGTCTCTGTCATAGGGCCGTAGCTTTCAAAAGCCAGTGAGGCTTCCGCTCCCCAGGGGATGCCTGGACACAAGGGGTCAATGGGGCATTGGGGTTTTAAAAGAGCTCAAGAACTCACCAGTGCCTGTTCCAGCACCAAAAGAAGTTTCATTTTTCACATACGTTGAAAACAAGGTTTAACATGACCAATGTTTGGCAAACAGCTGCAGTAATATCTATAACTTATTCTCCATTTCATAATGGAAAGGTTTGCTGTTTTGCCTAAGATATCAGTACTTCCTCTTCTGCTTGCAATGACCAAGTTTCAATAGTTAAATACATATATGAACAATGATTGAGAATAGGTCTCCTTATCAGGAGTCTCTAGGAGATATTCCTTTTGAAGGGATATGCTGATCATGAAGTTTGAGACATCTACACAATTAGAGAATGGAATGATCTCAACATTTTTTTCAACGTTTTATCTATTCCCCTGGCACTGATGTAATGCATGGGAAATTTTTGGCAACAGCCTTTACATTAATAGTGCTTTCATATGACTGAAACCCGATTATTTTTCCATCTTTCTATCTGAAAGTGATTACAGGGGGTTCACTTGATGCTCATTGCATTGAGACTGGTACCTTTTTTACAGCGTTACATGGCTCACCAATACTTTTTCCTATCGCGTTTGCTACTGCACCCCAAAAAGTGCGTTGCTGCCATCTTGTGAGCTGTTTCGTTTATAGCACATCAGGTAGAGACCAACTATGTTACAAAATAGAAGACATCAAGAAAAAATGGAACTGCTTCCAGGCCTGTTTTCACACATGGTTAAAAAATCTTAATTACCAGAAGATTTAGCTACATTCTGGAGAAAACCCATGTGACAATTGCGTTCTCCTTTGTGAATATGTCTGTTTTCCATTTGTGCAAGAATAGACCCAAGAACTGTCATCTAGGGAAATACCTGAATTAAGGTATTTGTAAACCACAGTTCTTTCTTCCAGTGTAAAATACTTCCTGGGTGGTCAAATGAGAGGAACTGATTCATGGGTGGGATTTGTCTCATCTATCTTACGGGTTTACCAGGTACTTACTACCTCTGAGTGAAACACTCTGAGCACCCCATACAGCCAGTGGAAGTATTTTTAGGACAGAATTCATCTGACCTACTAGAAACAGCTGGTTTAGCATGGGATGAATCATATCCTAGGGGAGCTTGTTTATCTCCATTGAAGGAGACGAAGGCTCCAGCGGAGCTGCTGATACCCGTGCCAGAGCCGTCCCCATTCAGGGAGGTGAATCCCACCAGCTCTAGCTCCTGGTGCTGGACTTAATAGCAAAGGTAATGCCACCCTTATAAGTTAAAGAAATGCAATGCCTTTCCTGTGATTGACTGTGCATTGTCATAGAAGAAGAAGGCATAGAAATAGAAGGCATTTCTATGCCTTCTATTTCTATAGCAATAGAAAGCGTAGCTTGTCCTTGCTTACTTTAACCCAATCACCAGCTGCTGTCTTTGGGCATGAGCACTGAAGCACTGAACAGCATTAATCCAACCCATGCAGCTCCCCTGGACATGCACCCAGCAACGTGGCTCTCCCCTGCCATGGTCTGACCTCCCTTCGCACCCACTATTGCCTGAGGGGAGACATGTGGTTTGGGCAGTGCTTTCCCCTTACACTTCTTACCCGGCATTGCAGGGTTTCAATGTGAACCTGCTGACAACGGACCGTGTGTCAGCTCTCCATGAGGCCTGCCTGGGTGGCCACGTCGCCTGTGCGAAGGTGCTGCTGGAGAATGGCGCTCAGGTGAGTGCTGGGGTTGCTGGCAGGGATGCAGGCACCTGGAGCAAGGACGCTCCTTCCATCAGTAGGAATATTGGATGGGCTGCCCGTGCGGCAAGGCCAGGATGCAGCTGGACAGAAGTATCATGGGCAGAAACAGGGAAAAATAAGAGAGTGCTGTTTCTGTGGGTGATGGATTTGCCTTTCCCCAGTGACTGCTTGATCATCCCATTACGCTGTTTTGTTTCCCCTCTGTATGTGAAATGTAGTCATAAGTGATAGAAAAGGAAAATAACCTTGAAGAAAATTACTTATCCCCTTCCCTTACCCATAACGATCACTGGAATTGCCTCTGGTTTTCTATGGGATAGTTTAGAAGTCTCACATAAGTAAAAATAGATGTGCTCGAAGCAATGAAACATTTTATCTGCTAATAAAATAACATTTCCCCCAGCTGGGCCTAAGGTAGAATGCATGTTAACAGTGGAGATAGAGGAATGGATGAAATATGTAAGAATATATTTCATTCAGCTTGGTTTTCAAGTGCAATTTATATGGCAAGAAACTGAGCAACACAGAAGCAGGCAATCAAGCTACCTGCAGAAGAAAATGCATTAGCTTCCTAAAAGATATACCAAATTTAAATCCCTTAGAAAGATGAAAGAAAAATCCCTTTCTGCTCAGTTTTGCTTGATTATATTCATATTAATTAATATTTGTATATTAATTAATATTTGTA